TATATATATATATATATATATATATATATATATATATATATATATATACACACACACACACACACACACACATACATACATACATACATTGTGTTGCGACTTTAAATATATACATATACACATATACATATTCAGATTCCCAAAGAGGAGTAAAGAACAGAGAAAACATAAAATGACTGATGTATATACCATAGATTTAGATCTCTTTGAATCTACATTCCACTTTAAAATTTTATTCCTCACTAATTCTGTTTTTACTCTGGAATTCTCTATCATCTGCATTTTATAAAGTAGCAGTTGTTAAGCTCCCTCTGAAGACTGGTCTCTTCATCTAGGTCTTGTACATATGAATTTTCTCTCCCACCATCTTTTTTAAAAACTACCTAGTGCTTTCAATTTATTGGATCTAATTGCATATTTTTCATTTTGTAAAACACTTAGAGATGGTATTTAGAAGAAGCTGTATAAAATATATATTACAAAATAAAGTGGTATGTATACTGAAGTAACAAAGAGTGGAACTGCCACATTGTATGATTTGGGTAAACACTTTGTTTTAATTGCATTATTAACTATGAAATTGTTTTAAGAGATCCTTGAATTCAAATGGTGATTTATTTATTCATTTTTAATTGCAGGTGAGATGATTATAAAGGCTCGAGTATTTACATGTGTAGAAGGAATAAATCTTCAGTTATTGGAAAAAGCCATAGGGGAACAAAGAAAGTATTTCCAGGAGAGAAGGAAAGATCATGAAGGAAGCATATGTTAGTCTATGCTTCAGCCAGCATTTATTTTCGAACACAAAATTTGTTCTGTATATGATCACTCATCTCTTGCCTTTATTCCTGGTGTTGTAGATTATATTGCTTTCTGAATACTTATTTAAAATTGGTTTGATGCAATGCTTTAGACTCAGAACTGGTCTTTATATTAGATTGTGAATCTTATACTTAATTCTGTTTAGAAACCCATATAAACAATAGAACATGCAAAGGGCTAATATAAATCTTTATTTTGAAGATGATTTTGGGAAATCACAGAAGCTTGATCATTAAGTTGTTTGGAAGCAAATAAGTTTTTAATATGCTAAAGAAACCAACAGTTGGTGGCTGGCTAGGGGCATGGTTTTTCATTTTAATTTTATTGATAGAAAAAAGTATTTTCACTGGCTTAGAATGTCCCCATTTCCTTATATACAACTTCCTTGTTTTCCTGACAGTTGTTGAACATCTTAATCTTCCATTTCAGAATATATCAGAATTGTAAAATAATGCAGCTTTTAATTTGAGCCTGAAATAAAACAACATGCTGGTTCTAGAAAGTAATAAAAGGAACTTTTCCTTTATTTTTCAATTTATATTATAGAATCCTACTAAGATATGTCTTGTTGCCTGTATTTATATTTATGTGACACTGTAGATGTGATCATTAGGCTTTAGGTAGATTGTATCAATGTGCTAATGACATCCATCTTAATAATTTTCATCAGGACCATCATGAAACTATATGTGTTTGCAGCTAGAAAAATAAGTTGAATAATATCCAATTTGTTGGCCAGATGTGGTTCCTAGATCTTGAAATCAGTGATATGGGTCCTGTATATGAGCTGGGCATTGATCATAAGAGAGCAGACCCATGGTATGAGGGGTCTTGTTTCTATCTTACAGAGCCCTACAGAGTTATTGAATACCTTTCCCCAGCTGCAGCTGATTTTTCAGTTATGTTTATCTCTGGACAGAGGTAATTTCTCCATAATAACTCATGCTCTAATTAAGTCCAAAATAGAATTTTATATGTGTGCTTTATGAAGCTGCCCTTAAGAATGGCTAGGGGACTGGTTTGACAAGACTGTATAATATCAGATTTGTTAGAAAGCAGCACTGCTCTCCTCTTGGCTAAATACACAATTCTCACTATTCTAGTTACCTATCACCATAGGATGGTTAAAAGAATTACTACTCAACATCTACATCTGATTTTTAGTAATACATTGTAGAAATGCATAGTTTATCAACATTTAAGAAATTAACAGATGCCTGTTAGTACCTGGACTTCATCAAGGCTTTTTCCTATTCATTTTTTTATCTTAAAGTTGAAACTACCTTATATTGTTAATGTGTGTATGCTTACTTTTCTGTTAATTAGTTTGATGTGATTAAATAAAATATGGAAAAAGAACTGTTACTTTAACTAGTGCTGCTTATGTTGAATGGGTCAACAGTTGAGATTTGCCATTGTGGGATATAAAGCAGTTGATATATATGGTCTGTAAATTTGTTTGTTGAAATCATTCATATACTGAAATTTAGCGCTAGCTACTTCCTTGCCTGAAAGGCCACCTACAATTTCAAAAACGATCTTGATTTGGAGGTATATGCTTGCTTTTCTTACCTGGTATGCCATTTTATATTTTCAAAATAATTTTTTTTCCTAACTGAAAAAAAACCTGTTAGGGCATAGAAACATGCTGGGTGAAATGTATTAATCAAAGTAGGCCTGCCTCCTACAGCAGGCCTACTTTGATTTATAATTCTCTCTTCACAGGAATGGTTGTTTCCTTTTTCTTTTGTAGTTTGTACAGCTAAAGGGCAAAAACAAAAAAACAAAATCAGGAGAACTAGATCCAACTAGAACTCTGGAGAGGCAAGGATACAATCTCTGTTTTTGTCTCTGAGAAATTTACAGTATACATTGAGAAAATAAAGGGAAATGCTTAATTACTTATATTGCAAGCAACATAAAGCTCACCCTGTACTTTGTTTGTCTGATGACTTTCTATATTCTGCTTCAGAAGAGGCCTCACCAGCCTAGCTTAGAGTCAATATTTACTTTACGTCTCCCTCTGGTGGTGCCGAAAGAGGGTGAGTTTTGATCCTTTGGGAAGTTTGTGGTTCAGCAAGAAGGAATGGAGGCCAATGGGAGGTTAGATCAGCAGGTGAGAGGCCTCTTGAGGAGAGCTGGGGATAAATAACCAGTTTTGGCAAGGGTGATTCATAAAAGCACATGGTACGCATATGTATGACTGGTTGGTCAGTAGCTAACATTCTAGTTTGGGTTCGAAGTTTGGCCTGAGGCCTTCTCCGATTAGTAAAAAGATGTGTCCCTTTCAAAAAATATTACATTCCAGAGAATCTTGTAAGGGTAATTCTTGGAGCGCTAACTCTTTATTATTTGTGTCAGAGAGCATTGTGGGAGTTGTAGCTCTGAACCACTGAAGAGAGAAATTGATTGAGCTCAGGAGTTCTTCCTAAGAGGAAGGGCCTCTTGAAAGCTTTCAAAGAGGCTTGGAAATAGTAGATTTCCCTGGAGATTTCTCCTCAAAACAACCATCATCATATCTTTTGGCCATGAGGTCCCTCCCTTTGGGATTAAGAGGGTTTTTTTTGTCTTGGTTGCAAATCAGCCTTGTGGGGGTGGGGCAGTTTTGCAACCCAAGGAACAAGTGGCATGTGGTTTTACAGAATTAAAGAATTTGAATATTAATAGAGGTTAGGTTAGGTTTATTTAGCTTGTATGCCGCCCTACTCCCGAGAGACTCAGGGCGGCTAACAATAAGAAAGGGAAGGGGGTACAAAAATAAAAACAACAATTAAAAATTCAGCAACAGTCATAACATCGGATGGGGCTGGATAATTCAACAGCCCCAGGCCTGCCGGAACAGCCAGGTCTTAGTTGCTTTGCGGAAGGCCGGAAGAGTAGTAAGGGTCCGGATCTCAACGTGGAGATCGTTCCATAGGGCTGGAGCAGCCACAGAGAAGGCCCTCCCCCGGGGAGTCGCCAGTCGACATTGGCCGGCAGATGGAATCCGGAGGAGGCCTAGTCTGTGGGATCTAATAGGTCTTTGGGAGGTGACTGGCAGGAGGCGGTCTCTCAGGTAACCAGGTCCGATACCATGTAGGGCTTTAAAAGTAACGACTAGCACATTGAAGCGTGTCCGGAGACCAATGGGAAGCCAGTGTAGCTCGCGGAGGATAGGTGTAACGTGGGTGTACCGAGGTGCACCCACAATCGCTCGCGCGGCTGCATTCTGGACTAGCTGAAGTCATCGAACACTCTTCAAGGGCAGCCCCATGTAGAGCTCATTACAGTAATCCAGTCTTGAGGTGATGAGGGCGTGAGTGACTATCCGAAGGGCCTCCCGGTCCAGATAGGGTCGCAATTGGTGCACCAGGCAAACCTGGGCAAAGGCCTCCCTGGTCACAGCCGACAGATGATGTTCTAGAGTCAGCTGCGGATTCAGGAGGACTCCCAAATTGCGAGCCCTCTCTGAGGGGCGTATAATTTCACCCCCCAGGCTGAGAGATGGGATAGCTGGACCATCCTTGGGAGGGAGCATCAATAGCCACTCGGTCTTGTTGGGATTGAGCGCAAGCTTGTTCATTCCCATCCAGACCCTGACAGCCTCCAGGCACTGGCACATCACTTCTACCACTTCACTGAGTTGCACGGGGCAGACAGATACAGCTATGTATCGTCCGCATATTGATGATATTTAATCCTGTGTCGGCATATGATCTCACCCAGCGGTAGATCACCCATGTAGATGTTAAATAGGAGGGGGGACAGGACCGAACCCTGCGGCACCCCGTAATTGAGTGGCTTAGGGGTCGATCTCTGCCCTCCGACCAACAACGACTGCGACCTGTCCGAGAGGTAGGTGGAGAACCACCGAAAAACGATGCCTCCCACTCCCACCTCCCGCAACCGTCGCAGAAGGATACCATGGTCGATGGTATTGAAGGCCGCTGAGAGGTCAAGAAGCACAAGGATAGAGAAGTGACCCCTATCCCTGGCTCGCCAGAGATCATCGATCAGCGTGACCAAAGCAGTTTCCGTGCTGTAACCAGGCCTGAAACCGGACTGAAAGGAAAGGAGGTTTGGGCAAAGGGCTGCTGAGCATAAATAGAGCAACTATTAGTTAGCAAGTATAGGTAATCCTCGACAATACCACAATTGAGCACCAAATTTCCATTGCTAAGCAAGATAGTTGTAAAGTGAGCTTTACTGCATTTTATGACCTTTTGTTAACCACAGTGGTTAAGTAAATCATGGCAGTTCTTAAGTTAGTTTGTTAAGTGAATCTGGCTTCCCCATTGATTTTGTTTGTCAGAAGGTCGCAAAAAGTGATAACGTGACTCCGGGACACTGTAACAGTCATAATACGTACCATTTGTCAAGTGTTCAAATTTTGACCATTTAAAAAATCATTTTAGTGTTTTTATAGCACAGTATGAAAGGAAGACGGGAGAGACACAGCACTTACAGTGAAATAACTTTATATATGGCAACTCTAGAATTCTAGTACATGTTACACACTATTATTTTTGGAATTCCGTGAGAATGCAATTCCTTTCTCTAGTGTATTTCATTATCTTCATGTGAGCTTATTATAAAACTCAGCTATCTAGGCAAGCATTCTCAACTTGGTCCAAATCGCTTTTCTGAATATCATATATTTATTAGTTTATCATAATATAAAATGCAGAAATGTGAAAAGAAATGAAAAAAATGGGAAAATAGGAGAGGAAAAGGGGAAGAGGAAAAAGTATAGGGAAAGGGGAAAATAAAAATAAAAGCATTAATTTCCATCTCTTTGGCACAGTAAAATAAGATAATAATGCACAGCCTCAACTTTTACTTTTGTGTGATAATATATACAAGCCATTTCTATAACAACAGAATTATAATCAGCAAAATCCAAAGTCAACCTTTCATTTTTTCAACCTCAATCACAAAGTCCAAAAGTCAAATAGAAACAAAATTAAATATTCTTTTCTTCAATCAAAGGAGGCAATCTAGCCATCTCTGTTAACTTTATCAACTTTTGCAGCCATTTGTCCATTGTGGGAATCAAAATATCCACGATTTTTGTACATAGGATATTTTTACTGCTCTCAGCATATATAACATCAAATTTTGATCATGTGACTATAAGAATACTGCAACATCCGTAAGTGTGAAAAACAGTCATAAGTCACTGTTTTCAGTGCCTGTCAGCATCACTTCATTCAGTAATCAGGAAAGAAAACCACTGGACTCCATTTGTATTGAAATCAAGTGTACTTTTNGTACCGAGGCGCACCCACAATCGCTCGCGCGGCTGCATTCTGGACTAGCTGAAGTCTTCGAACACTCTTCAAGGGCAGCCCCAATGTTGTCAATGGCACAATTTCCCCACTGACTTGAGACAAGAAGTTAAATTAGTGGGGCTAAATCCGCTGTAGAATCTGCACTCCAAAACATCCTACTGTCATGCTTGCAAGCCATCTTTTCTCTTGGCACTTCAGGCCTGCCACACTTTCTACTGTGGGAAAATGGGAGGGGGGGGGGATTAAATGGAGCTGGGTGATATGTAGCCATAACAACATTCTTCTTAGAAAGCCAAGGTCATCTTTTGTCTCTGCAACTGGCCGGAACTGGATAGGAGGAATCTGTCGTCGTGGCAGTGGAAGATTGGACCATGTGTTGGGGAAGGATCTTGAACTTTCAACTGGGAGGGAAAACTCGGAAGCTTTCAGATTCGGGTTTTCCCAGATGTGCCAACATGGCTCTCTTAATAAATTGGAACTTTGAGGAATCCTTTGCATCGGACCCTGATTTTATTTTGGATTCTATTTGGAATCCTGACATTAACCCAAATCTCCCTTATATTGGACGCTGTTTGGAAGCCTGTCACCTACAACGTTTTTTTTAAAAAAAGCTTAGGGGATGGAGCCCCATCTCTTTTATCTGCTCATGGGGCTTTCAGACTCTGAGAGGAGAAGCGGAGCCCCAATTTCTCCAGGCAGTGATGGAGCCTGGGCGATCTCAGTCCAAATCCTCCTGCATTCTTACAAAAATCCAAGTTTATGCTAAGCAATCTGTTCCCCATCATTATGCTGAGCAAGAGAAAGAATTGCCTAAGAAGGAGCCTGGCCTGCACACTCCTTGCTCTGTGGAATTTGGTCCGTTGTGCCATTGAAAAGCACCAAGGATAAAACCTTGGTTTTTAGTAGAGAGGAGTGGATTCAAGCAAAGGATACACCCAGCAGGCAGTTTTAACACAGACGGTGATTGTATCAAGGGAAAAAGAAGCCCCCCCCCCCCTCCCCCAGCAAATTGTTCCTGGACGGTGATGGATTCCGAGCTCTGATTTAGAGGATGCCACTCAAGGAACTGCTGATATTCCCTTGTTCACTTTCCGTCTCCTAGCTGAGGAGAAGAGATGCTATGATGATATGGCTTGCTGAATTCCATAACTGAGTTTGTTTGCAATAGGCTGTCACAGAGGACTACGAAGCTTGCAAGTTGCACACAATGACCAACTCAGCAAAAAAAAATCTACCTACAGCCTTCTCCAACTTACTGGAAGCAGAATTCCACCAGTTCTCCATCAGAATTATTCACAGGTGTTCAAAACTCAGATCCTATGGAGGATCTGAAGAATGGATCCCAAACTCAACGCCTTCAAAAACACTAACCACAAGAATGCATGTCTCCTCCTCCTCCTCCTCCTCCTCCTCCTCCTCTTTCTCCTTGCTCGTCAACCCCCAAGGCCATTGCCAAGGACCTACCTGGAAGCTGCAATCTCCGCTTTCTGCTTGGCGATGGTGGCTGCCCGCTCGGCTGCCTCCACGGCCCGGTCCACCTTCTCGCGGATCTTGCTGGCCCTCAAGGGGATGAGGTTCTTCCGTTTGCCGCTGACGAGAATGTTCTGCTTGTACTTCCCCTCTTCCTTGGTGCCGTCGGGGAAGGTCATGCAGCCGTAGCCGTGGCGCTTGTTGGTGGCCCACTCCCCTTCGTACTTGAGGCCATCGGAGCGCTGGCTGATGCCAAAGCCGGACCTCTTGTCGTTCTTCCACTCGCCCACGTAAATCTCCGTGGTGGTGGCATCGATGTCATCCTCGATGACGGAAATCTCGGTCTCGGCTTCGCCCAGGCTGATGGTGGAATTGATATCGCTGGCGGTGGAGCTGACGGTGCTCATGCCCGCCTCGCTGCGGAAGGAACTCTGCTTGCTCCGCTGACTGGCTAGCGAGCTCTTGGACTCGGATTTGCGCAACTTGAGGCCGCTCAGCAGGGAACGCCGGAATATGCCCTTCTTCTTGCTCTTCAGGATCTCCGCGTCGCTGTGGGCCATCAGGACAAATCCCCCCCTTGAGACAGCGGGGCTCCCAGCCACGGCAGGGGACGCATCGGGGTGCAATGCCGTGCCATTGGTGTGCTCGCTGCGCAAAGAGTTGATCGATGTTCTTAATGGCGACCGGATAACCGCAGCCATGCCGTATGGGACACTCTGCCGAACGCCGTAGCCCTGGCGCATGCCTCCGGCCCACTGGCCTTGGTATGTCCCTGCGAGCGAGAGGGGGGAAAGGAAAGGAAAGAGAGTCACAACCAAGCCTTCTCAGCCACACGGTCCTGTAGGACTGTGGGGTCATGCATCTACTCGCCCACAACCTTCACGACATTCCATTACATTGGAGCTCATGGTACATTTTAACTTAGATAGATAAACAGAGNCCCATCTTTACCAGAATCTATCTCCTAGCACCTGTAATATCAGCTTGTAACGATCCACTTGCGGAACTCAACTCTGGTGCAAGATGGAAGGATTCTCCTCCAACCTAGGCTAGGCAAATCTATGGGGATGAAGATAGGGACTGGGGACGTCAGAAGTAGCCCATTTCTCAGTAACAGTTCTTGGGGGGGGGACATGCTGGGCGCCATTGCTGCTCCTGGGCATCTAGGAAGTTGTCGTGGTGAACAGTCTGGTTCTGAGTGGCAGGAGGCGAGGGACTTTGGCGGGGTCTGGTTATCATGTTCCATCATGGAGGCTTCTCACTGCAAGTATGGTGGTGCTGTCATAGGGCAGTTTGGATCTGGGGTGCTTCAAATTGGTCCAGAATCTTCTGGTCTCTCAGAGCATCCATGCCATTCAAAGGGGACTTTCACTGAGGACATAATGGGTTCTTCTCAATACTCCATCAATGGGATGGCGGTCCCTTTCTTTTTGACCGAGGTGTATTTCCTGCTCATTCATGAAATCAGAATAGATCGAATACATGCCTTATCTTCCATCGCAGTGGATGAAAGAAATGGAGTTTGTGCTTGTTTGATTAGCTTAGACTGGTGCTTCTCAACAACCTGAGCAGAAGTTCACACTCCTTAAAAGTTGTCAAGGTTGAGAAACTTGGGTGAAGATGGTTGTATCTTTTCTTGAAGGTGAAATTAAATGTGAATTAAAGGAGATGACGTATGTAACGCAGGGAAAAGGTGTGTGGGGCTATGCTGCAAATTCTTTTTTGACTTTCAACTCAGGATGAGTCACCTGTATGTGCTCAGCATAAGACGAAGCAACATTTAGGGGACATGGAGTGATGGGGGAACATCACTCCATCTCCATCTAAAAGGCAACATGGCATCTGTCTAGGTACCTCCCGTCACAGTGTATGAAAAAATATGTGCCCAAATGCGTTTCTTTTGGGCACATTTTTAATCCCAGCCTGAGAGCCTTAACAGGGGCATCAGGATGAGTTAAGAAACAGACTCCATATGCAACTTTTCCCCAAGGTGCACTTTGGGTGGTCTCTAGTCACATCTGTTAGGCCCAAATGTATGTTCATATCCTAGTGGCGCTCCTCCGAAGCACATGTTCACCAGGAGACGTAAGTGGGCTTCAGAACCCAAGGAGCTGCTTTTGGGTTATTTCGCGATGACAGCTCTGCATGCAAAACCCGTGTACCAAATATGTCTATACTGGTTATTTACAGATTGCAACTTAATTAACATCTGGAGAGGGACTTGCATTTCCCACCATCTGTCACTTCTAATGAAACACTATCAAGGGCATCAAAGAAATGACTGATTAAGACAAGGCAGGCAGGAAAAATTATGCACAGGAAATGTCTGGAGGGGCAGGAAATCAAGCCACTGAGGGTGCATCTGCAAGGGTTATCTTTTTCATCTCCACTCGCCTTTTACACAACATCAGATGCTAACAAGGAGAGGCTCGTGAATTAAATCAAGCTGGGAAGATCTTTCTCTGGATCTGCCGCTTTCTTTCCCATTGTTCCATCCCGGCGTGGACTGGAGCAACACGTTTTATAGAGCTATTGCGGAAAAGAGATTGGCAGTGACGGATGCTTGGGACCGAGAACAACTGACATGTGAATCCTGAGAAAAATACATCTACCAACCCACCCTGTGCCAACTTTTATGCAAAGCTCATCCTACTTGGGTTGTATGGTCCAAAATACTTCAAAGACTCCAAATATATTGGAAACCTCTTTCACTACCAGATCTTTAGCTCCCTAACCCAAGACCACCAACATGCCAAGCCCTACTTCTCTTTGGTTCTCTGTGTTATGTGACTTACAACAATGACTTATAGCTTAGCAAGTCAAGTACACCCAGCCAACTGCAGTTTCGTTAATAAACTATAGCTAAACAAGTCATCGTCTTGCAAGGGGTGTGGGTGGTCATTCTCTATGAAGCCCGTCATGGCACAGGTCTGGATATCCGTGGGGCCAAGGGTCTCTCCTCACCCAAACAATATCTGACAGGGTTGATGTTGGAGAAGAAGCTGAACTAGGAGGACAGAAAATCATTGCTCTCTTGAAGAGCCCCATCATGGCTGTTCTTTATGCCGAAGACCTCCCCCCTCCATAATGAAGATGATGGGCTGAACCTCTACTTGACTTTGTAGACATGTTTCTGTCCTCTTGTTTCAGTTTCTTCTCCTGGTGGTAGAAGGGAATTTTGAGATGTGGAGCACATCAACCCTGTCAGGTATGGTTGGGGGAACAGAGACACTTGCGGACAGATGGTCCCACGGATATCCAGCCCTGTGCCATGAAGGGATTTATAGATAATGACCAGCAGCCTCTTATAACATTTTAGGAGTCTAGTCTCCATTATCTTTTTTTTCCCCAAATGGACAGCTGGACNTCCTTCAACCTGGCACATACCCCCGTTTTTCTACCCGCAGCAGTTTCTGTAGCCACGAGAGAACATCTAGGGCTGCAGTCTCCCCTTATGCTCCAAAACACCACTGGCCCAGTCCCACATCAGGTGTCGCACATGTGGGTTTTTTTCTCTGGATGTACAAATCATCCCCCACAGATGAAAATCAGCATCGCATAAAATTCATACTGGTTCCATTATCCTTCCCGTACTACAGCTGGATGATCCTTCCCAAGGCAAATTATATAACGTATGCCTGCAGGCTAAAATTAATTTGTTTTCACTTGTGATGCATCAGTAGCAACATGATTCTTTCTCTTCCAGGTAAAAACACACTGGCACCAGAGCCAAACGGTTGGAGGCCTGCTTGATTCTACAGGAAGTCCGTCTTGAGTGACTGTCCCATTCAGCGACTGTCCGCAGGTAGGACGGTAATATAAAAGCCAGCCGGTGGATATTTGTGGTGGGAAAGGAATGGAGCCGATGATGGCTGGACCACCCTCAACTAACAATCCTGTTCCTGCTTCATGTAAACATCATTTTGCAAAAGGAACACATTAGTTTCTCAACCTTGGGAACTTTAAGACGGGGGGGACTTCAACTCCCAGAATTCCCCAGCCAGCGAATTCCAAAGTGGGCCACTGGAATCCATCTTGGCTTTTGATGTCTGAAAGGTGCTTTTCCAAAAGACAACTGGACATTTTTTGTATTTTTCTTGGAAAACGTTTTGTTTCACACCTCCAAGAAGCTTCTCCAGTTCTGGATGGGCAGCTTCTTCAGCTTCTTGGAGGAGAAGCAAAACATTTCCAAAGGAAAACCGAAACCAAAAAACTCCAGCTGCCTTTTGGAAAAGCACCTTTGGGATAACCATGGCTGGGAGGACCGAGAATCTCCACAGGCATTCTGCTCTCGATGCAGCTTCAGATTTTTGGACCTTCTGGTTCTTCTTTGAAACCAGAATCGGAACCAGGATGATTGAGAATCTCCACAGACCTTCAGAGGAAAAGGCCATCATCAGGCAGAAGAGCCTCCCACGGTATCTTTGTGGTCCAACCTTTGGTGGGCCAATCTGGGCAAACCTTTCCCTTGGAAGGATCTCTGTGTAATAGCCAGGCGGTTACCATAGAGATGGGACAGAAGAGGCCACAGGTGCAGAAACTCCTGCTAGAGCTGAAGGCACCAAACCTTCTCTTTTTCCTAGAGAGCTCTCTTGGAAACAAAGGCACCGAAGGCAAGAAGGGAGGGAGTGGGGGAGGTTTTACCTCCAAATTTAGACTGAGCCACTGTGGGCTGTTTGAAGGCACAGCATCTGAGTGCTGAGGAGGAAGGATGGAGAGGCAAAGCAGGCTTGAGATCAGAGAGAGCCATGGGGAGGGTTGCTCCCCCAAAGGAGCAAGAGGAGGGTCCACCCAAAGGGGATCGGCTTCTCTGCACAACCGTCAGCCCGTTCAGGATCAGAACCCGGGCCCTCTTGTCCAGCTTCAGGGCCATCGTTTCTGGCTCTCTCTGGGTGGAAGCAATCCATGGAGAAAGAAAGAGAGCTTGATCATCCTGGCCTTTGGTGCAAGGAGACTGGCGGGAGATGAATTATTCAGTGCCACTGCAGATGTTGGCTTCTGCCTGCAGACTTAAGGAGCCATCCGTTCAGGAGGAGGAAAAAATGCAAGAAGGGAGGCTGCCCTGTTTGACTGGGATCCATGGGAGGGGGTGGAGGCAAAGGAAGGAGGAAGCAGCTGATGGTTCCTATGGCCTTGCTTGGGAAATGTCAGGCCTGCAGCCATCTTTCCTTTTGGGTCTTTGGCCTGACACACTTTCTTTTATTCTGCTGTGCATTTTTCTATTGTGGGAAAATGGAAGGGGGTGGGATTGTACGGAGTTAGATGATATGTAGCCATAACAACATTCTTCCTAGAAAGCCAGGTCATCCTTTGTCTTTGCACTTCTGCACCTGACCGGAACTGGATGGGTGGAACTGCCAGCATGGCAGTGGGAGATTGGACCATGGGATGGGCTTGTGGGTGTGGGGGGCAAGATCTTGAACTTCCAACTGGGTGGGGAAAACCAGGAAGCTTTTAGATTCGGGTTTCCCTAGATGTGCCAACGTGGCTCTCTTAATAAATTGGAACTGAGCAATACTTTGCCTTGGACTCTAATTTACTTTTGGATGCTATTTGGAACCCTGACATTAACCCGAATCTTCAGAGCCCCCTTTTCACATTCTGTGATTCAGACTTGTTAGCCTCTCTACCCTTAACTCCTGGACCATAGAGTATGGTTTGGTGGTTCAGAAGGCCTTTCAAATCATAGTCCTTTTCACAATGGATTGTTGAAGAGCCGAGGTGGCGCAGTGGTTAAATGCAGCACTGCAGGCTACTTCAGCTGACTGCAGT